AACTAGATAAAATGATCGATTGATTTACAAAACATCACGTCTTCAGCGTGACACACTAATAATAACTTTGATACTAGAAGTATTTTTATCTCTTATCTTATAAACGTGATTTTAGCTTTATTTTAGTCGCGAGACAGATGTGCGTTTTGATTTTTTAATCCATATCTATACGTCCTAACACATACAGAGCCTATTCTATGTTAGATACTAGGCTACAACACGGCCAATGCGGGTTGACTTTACACATCTTAAAATTTCTTCGCAGATATGTGCACACATCAAGAAAGTACCTATAGCATGTAAATCATACTAGCTGTTGCTAGCGACATCGCCCGCGTCACTAAACATATGGCTATGTTACTCAGTGATAACATAGCTTTTAAATGGTGCAATAAATTTTGAAATCGGTGTAGTGGTTTATATTCATAATATTCCAATATAAAAAAAAAATCCAAAAATACAGATCTTTCCTCTTTTTAATATTAGTATATATCATGGAACTTTTAAAACATTTTATTCTCATATTTCATTTAAAATAGACGTTTACTGAATTTATACCTTTAAATTTATACAACTTCATGTCATAGCTAATTTTAAATTTCGAAGCGATATTAAAATTCATCGCACGCGCAATCGTTATTAAAAACTCGAATGACGTCACCATTTTGTTGCACTAGGTTTCAGTCTTTCGATCATTTAGATTTAAAAACTTTAGATCGTGGGATCGGACATCTAAAAGGCATTGTTACAATTATCACCCTTTGTTAACATTACTGTAGCTAATAAAATACAATATTTAAATTAGGGCCTGTCCCACCAAATTGTACATTATCTAATAACAATGTGTAAAACATGTGATGGAAATATCGAATTTTGTTACCTTATCTTAGAATGGCTTCATTTCTAAGCTATCTGAGCCTCTATCAGCCAGTGGTGGGACAGTCCCTTAACAGTGTATGGAATAAAATTTTAGTACCTATGTTTAGAATACGCTCCGAGTTACTGTTACAAAGTGGTTTAATTTTTATACAGGCAAATGGAGATTTATTTCATAGAAAACTGTACCTTCGTCACTCAGATCATTCAACCGTTAGTAGTTAGTGACAATTCTATCTGAAAGGATAATTTCCACAATATACATCAATACAATTTGTAAGCTTTGCTGGAACCCTAAGAGCGTATCTAAGTGATACATCATTTAGTTATCAAGCTAATGTAATTTGCGAACATCAATCCCTAGCAGCTATCGATCTAGGGGCCGGCACAACCGCAAGGGCGCGCCCGGTCACGCCGCGCCCGCCGCAATTAAGAGAATCCTAATGCAGAGTTTTAATCGTATAGACATGGCAAGACAGGAAAAAAATATTTAGTTTACTAAAAGCAATTTATAATAAATTTGTAAATTAGG